TAAAATACTTAACAAAGTGGCCCTATCTTCACCACTTACACTAAGAATGACTAGTAAAGGGCAAATACATAACATCGTGCAGAGAGAACTTGCTGGCATTTCGGGTCTGGACTGCCCGTATGGGTGGGACCAGTCTGATATGCTTCAGATATGTTCTCTCTGTAATGGCACAAGTTGAGCTAAAACCAGCATGAGTTCTGAGCGGGGACCCACCAAAGGGCAGGCTATTTTAGCTGCTGTCCGTTCTCAGAATACTCTTGCGACCCATTGTTTGCTCTCCAAATACATAACATGTACTTTTTTTAATGGGACATAGAAAAAAAATATTTCTTCATTTTTCAGCCATTTAAAAAAAAAAAAACAATTTAACAAAATAAATAAGAAGTTAAGAAAAATGTTTCAAAACATAGCAAAAAATGTATTAGAAAATTTGTGCTGCCAAAAATAATTGACAACCCTCAGCCTAAGTAGCTTGAATGCTCAGTAAAGATTGAGGATTCAAGGAAAGAAAGACTTTTGTGTAGGGATCTCCCACTTTGAATATTTGGTCAGAATACCTGGAAACATGACCGTTCTTTGATACTAGGACTCAGCAAGTAATGTTTGTTTTACTATATTAATTATTTATAGCTGCAAAGAACGATAACATGCATGAAAACTGTCCGATCTTTATAATGTAAAATAGAGATTTTGTGTCTATATTTAGCATTACACTGATAGGAACTTCTTCACTTGGTCATTTGGTTCAGAAATCAAGTGAGAATAAGTTACCAACAGAGCGGAACAAAATGAGAAGCCGTAAACAAAATCTGTCTTTATATATGATATATTTATTGAATCTCTCTCTCTCTCTCTCTCTCTCTATATCTATATCTATATCTATATCTATATCTATATCTATTGAATCTCGATAGATAGATAGATAGATATTTGTTTTCTGCTGCTTTTTCCTGTTTTCCCTCTTTTGGTCACTTTTCAATCTCCATCTGTGAATACAATCAACATTTAGTGGCTGTTCCCTAACCATCAATCATCTTTTTTCTGTATTTGTGTCATGATTTCTCCATATAATATTGTTGAGGATTTGAAATGGAATGAACACGTCTAATATATACAATCCAGCATATTCTTTGTTCTTGTGTCATTTTATTTTCATTCTCCTCCTTCAGACATTATCTCTTCCACTAACGTGTTTTTCCCATTATTCTCTGATCCTCGTGTTACCCTAATAAAACCTGTGCACTCTATATGTTGCCTTAAGTCCTGTATCCCAATTGAATTGCATGTCCCATTTTCCCCAATGCTTTAGATTTGTTAAATGGAGGAGATTGTCATTCTAAAATACTGTAAGTCTAACAAATAAATGATTACAGGATAGTATGGGTATTTATTATTTTAATGTACATCCGCGTTAATGAGATTAATACAACTGCAATTACAACTTTTTGATTTAACAGAAGATCACACAATATTTGTCTGAACGATTATTGCACACAACCAGATCTTTCTAAAGAGTTCACAAACCTTTTACTTGCAGGTAGAGATAGACAGATGTATAGAGGAAATAGATAAAAAATAGCAATAATAAAATAATTTATAAATAATAATAATAGGGTGGATGTTAACAAAACAATTGGTATTAGCTGGTAGAAGAATAGGAAGAGCCTATAGATCTGGCTCATAATGTGTATGCCTTGTGCTACTAGAGGTAACTATCCCTTACGAAAAGCAGGCGAAGGGCTAAGAAAAAAACAATTAAAGAATGAATTACAGATTAAAGAATACAATCATTAATAATAAGTAAAAAATAATGCCCCAATGTGTCTAAGAGTTTTCACTCAGCGTTTATCGAATTGTTAATCTTCCTCTGCCGATGTCATCTGATCTGTTATTGCTACAAAATTGAGTTTTTTTTAGTTTTTTTTTATTCCTAGTACAATTAGACATAATTAGTATTAAATTTAACTGAGTGATAGCTTTTTAAATATGTAACCATTAAATATACTATTCTTATTACAATAGTTTTGCTATAATATAAATCTGTTTAAATAATTTAAGTTATATATACTTCTTAACGTTTTAACCAAAAAATGTCAAGAAAACAATGAAAATAAAAAAATAACTGAACAATGCTGAAACAATGAAGGAGACACACATACCCCGAATCAGTACCTTTTTTCTTATTTCAATATGGGATTTATCTACTTGGAGTCATCTGATCTTGTTGACGCCCCCTGGGGTATGCGCTATCCCAGGTATGTTCCTTTCGAATGGATGCCCCATCTCATCTTAAAGGGATGTATACAGGTTAGTCAGTCCAAGATGTCCAAGCTGGTATTTAGAACTTTAGTATAAATATGTAGTGTCCATCTAGGAGAGCTCGGATTTTCAGGAGGGTCAAATATTTTCTTCAACTTTACAATATGGCCTTAGTTTTGCAGTTTGTGGTCTGAAAACACAACTCACTACTCAGTGAACAGACTCCAGTAACAATATAATAAATTGGTGTAATATTACAGCAATCACACTGAAACTCCTAAACTGTTATAGGTGTATAGTGTTGGAGATTCTAAAGTACTCAACACTTCATTAAAGCACTGGAAACTACTATCTTACTATTCCACAAATTATTGCCTCAATGGGCAACATCCCATACTTACTACATCAGGATAAAATGAGAATAATTAGCAGGTTAGGGCAGTATTTTCTAGCTCGTATCCCTATATTAATACAAACCATCTCTGCTGGAAGGCCATTCCATTCATTCACAACCTTTATTTTTTATTGCAAAAAAGAAAGGCATTATAAGACGTGATTAGAGTTGAGCGAACCCGAACTTTACGGAACATTTTTGGACAACGGACCCGAACACGGACATATCACTGTATGTTCGGGTTGGAGTTCGGTGTTCGTCGATTTAATGGCGTGTTTTCAAAGGCTGCAGGGCAGCCAATCAACAAGCGTTTGACTTGTGTGCCCTTAGAAGCCATCACAGCCATGCCTACTAATGGCATGGCTGAGATTGGCCAGTGCAGCATGTGACCCAGCCTATATATATATAAGCTGGAGTCGCGTAGCGTCGCACGCACATGAGTTCTTATTAGTGTAGGGAGAGGATGCTGCCGCTGTGAGGGACAGATTAGGAAAGAATTCTGCAAACTAGTACATTAGTGGGGTGCACTTCATATCTGAGAGGGAAATAGAACCATCAAATACTGCTGTTACATTGCAGTTTTAAAACTTCAATTTTTTTGGGTGCTAAAAAGTACATTAGTGGGGGTGCACTTCATATCTGAGAGTCAAATAGAAGCATCAAATAGTGCTGTCACATTGAAGTTTTAAAACTTAAATTTTTTTGGGTGCTAAACAGTATTTTAGTGGGGTGCACTTCATATCTGTGAGTCTAATAGAAGCGTCAAAAAATGCGCTTACAGCGCAGTTGTAAAAATTCTAATTTTCTGGGTGCTAATCTGCTAAATTGTACATTTGCGGTCTGCGGTGCACTTCATATCTGAGAGTCAAATAGAAGTGTCAAATAGTGCTCTTACTGCGCAGTTGTAAACATTCTAATTGTTTTGCAGATAATCTACTATATAGTACATTTTAGGGCCTGTTCTTCATATCTGAGAGTCAAATAGTGCGCTTACTGCGCAATTGTAAACATCCTAATTGTTTTGCTGCTAATCTGCTGCTTACATTTGTGTTTTAAAAAGTAAAATTTAAAAAAAAAAATGTTTTTGGTGCTAAATAGTATATTTGGGGTGTTCACTTCATATATGAGAGTCAATTCGAAGCGTAACTTTGATTCGAATTTACTACATCGGTCACTTGTAACATTGTTTCACACCTACAACACTTGTTACACAGATCTAAGTGATAGAAAACAGATTGATATTTTCTACACTGGAATCTACCAGATAACAAGCTGCTATATTTAAACCAGTGATCAATAGCTAAGAGGTACTTCAACAATATTGTAATTCTGGGGCAATACCCTCACACGTCATACTGGGAGGTCAGTTTATAGGGAAAACTGTTGCCTGGATACAATTCTAAAACAATTTCCATATGTCCTTTGCAGACTTTACATGCTGGAAAAACACAGGTGCCAACTGCTGTGGCTTTCTGCAGTGTGCATACCGGCAAGGAGGGCAGGGTTGAGGAGTGGGTGGAAGATGATGTGGAGGATGATGAGGTACTAGACCCCACATGGAATAAAGGTCATGCGAGTGTGCAGTTTGGAGGAAGAGGCACTGGTCGCACAGAGGCACCAGCACAGCATAAGAGGGAGCAGGGTGCAAAAGCGGAGCAGCGTCCCCTAGTGCTCGTCGACATGTATTAGCTTGAGAATTACCAATTATCCAAGTAATACATGTAGCGATTAAAGGATCCATAATAGAGTTGAGCGAACCCAAACTGTAAAGTTTGGGTTCGTACCAGATTTAACAATCAATTTGTAGTTTCACAGTCAGGTGGGCAGTCCGGTGACCAGGACCCAGACACTGTCTGGGTGGCAGTCAGACGACCGGAACCCAATATGCCTGATGTTGAAGTTAGGAGTCACAGTGTGGAATGGATTAGCAGGTTCTGGTACAGGGTAACCGCATGTCTGCTGGTGTTGAGCACCAGCGTTTGTGCGGCCACATACCAGGACCCTGATGCAGCTTCAGTAAAAAGAGTACTGGATACCAGAAGCCATCACCAGACTGATCCGCAACTTGGAACAGGATGTGACACTCACTGTAGTGGCTGTGCGTGCTTTTGGCGTTCTCACCCTGCTGCTGCTCGCCTGTCTGCGCTGCAGCGTAACTTCATCCTCACCGCCTCATGAGACTGTGTGAGCAGCAACAGGTGAGTTTCAGTTGAGTTTCAGCTGCAGCACGCACAGGTCAGTAGCTCTGCACCAGACGTGCATCCAATTGATCAGAGTTAAAGGATTTCAAGTGGACTCATTACAATTACAGGGCCTCTAAAGTGTCCTTTATTGTTATTTGTCGTCACTACCTTCCCGCGTCAGAAGTGGGTTGTTTGCGCGCCTGCTGCCTTCCTTGCATGTGGTAGCCATTTCTCAGGGTCGCTATACAGAATGGAACCCTGATTCCCCGTTACCCATGGTCGCCATAGTAGGCACAGAAACTGGTATCGAAAGGTGATCTGGATGACATCCAAATGTGAAGTCGCCGTCACGGGGATGTGCGATTGGCCCGAGGTTCTCAAGAGTCAACAAAGTGCCTGCGCAACTATAATGTCAGCAGCTACTCTGCGGGACAGAGTTGTCTTTTTTTATATGTCCCAATATTTTGGGGGCTATCCCAATAAAAAAAAAAAATATATATATATATATTTATATATATATATAAGTGTTGGCTACCTCCTCCTCCACCTCTGCTTCCACCTACACCGCCACGGTCACCGCCTCCTCATCCTATGGGTCACTTGGTATAAACTATGTACACAATAGCAGAGGCTTGTGAAGGCCTTTTCTCCATGCATCAGGAGTTGAGCATTTCTCCATGCATCAGGACTGCAAGAAATGTACTGCAGGCTGCAAACGTTTCTTTTTTTGTATGTCACAATATTTTGGGGGCTACCCCAATTTAAAAAAAAAAAATAAAAAAAAAAATAAAAAAAATAAAAATAAAATATATATATATATAAACAATGTTGGCTACCTCCTCCCCCACCACCGCTGCTTCCACCTACACAGCCACGGTCACCGCCACCTCAACCTATGGTTTATTTAGTATAAACTATGTACACAATAGCAGAGGCTTGTGAAGGCCTTTTCTCCATGCATCAGGAGTTAAGCATTTCGCCATGCATCAGGACTGCAAGAAATGCACCGCAGGCCGCAAATGTTTTGTTTTTTTATGTGTCCCAATCCCAATATTTTGGGGGCTACCCCAATAAAAACAAACAAAAAAAACAGTGTTGGCTACCTCCTCCTCCTCCTCCACCGCCACTCCCACCTACACTGCTGCGGTCACCACCTCCTCAACCTATGGGTCACTTAGTATAAACTATGTACACAATAACAGAGGCTTGTGAAGGCCTTTTCTCCATGCATCAGGAGTTGAGCTCAGTTTGAACAATGAAAGAGAATACCCTGCACTCCAACCCTCTCTCAAATGGATAATTCTGGTGATCCTCCTGACAGCCATGCTTTAGATTTTGATTGATGTTCTTCCAAAGCTAAAATCAAAGATTCCATCTAGTGCTATTTTATGGCTCAGCTGTATTTTTTAATTTTTACTTTATTTTAAGTGATTTCCCTATCCACATTTGTTTGCAGAGCACTTGTCCTACTCTTACCCCCATTTTACTTCCTTTTGCAGGTCTATAGCCCTTTAGTTTTTTTAGAGGCATTTTTGTGCCCAAAAGTTCGGGTCCCCATTGACTTCATTGGGGTTCGTGGTCAAGTTCGAGTTTTTCAAAGTTTGGCTGAACCCGCCGGACCCGAACATCCAGGTGTCCGCTCAACTCTATTGGTAACATCTGTAGATTAAGCTTTTGAAAGGTTTGTGATCCTTTGAAGAACATATCCAAAAGAATAAAATTTAAGCCACAATAAGAGATTTCCATTATTTTCGTTTAACGATTAGTTGACATTTGAGAGGCTGGAATTTAGGGGGTCTGACAATGGTATTTACTGAACTCGAAAGTGTGTCAGACTGACAAATTGCAAAACGGGGGCTAAAAAAGATGTACTGAAAAATGTCTGAAACTCAGATACAGTCACAGTTTGACTACTTTAATCACAATGCAATTTTCAGATTTTATCTTGCTCCAATCTCATTGTAGTTAATAGACCTCAGACTTTAACTGGTTTGTTAATAACTATTGCATCAAAAGAAATTAATACTGATATTCAAAAGTTGCCATTTATTGTACAACCCATTGTACAAGGCTATGGAATTTGCTACCACTATATATAAATAATAAAATAATAATATTTTCACTAGGTTTGATTTCCCACTAAAAACAGGAACGTGCTGTACATCAAGTGACTCATGGGTAACTATGCCCCACAAATCAGTCTGCATCCTAATAGTTCAGTAACTAATGCTGCCTGTACTAATTGTAGGTAACATTAATTAAAGTAATAGAGGTTGGTGCAACAACTAGACTCTTGGGAAATGTGATACCTCCGAGAAGCTCCTGCCAGACTGAGCAAACGCTTGTAAAACCACGGTTCTGATTCTGTTAACGAAGCGGAGAGACCATTGATAGACATGGCAGATAAGTGTTAAGAAATGGTTACATTATCACTCTGAAATATTTCAATTACACAATATGTTAGTGTTTTCAGAAATATTAATGCTGAATCTGGAATACCCGAACTCTGCTTTAAAATACAGATTGATCACATAAACTCTACGGAGCTGGTTTACCAGTTTTGGGGGCCCGTATAAAAAGGTAGGCAATCTTTACACTCTCAAACCACCCATCATGCAGGTATCTAATCACTAAACAGCAAGATGTGCTGTGTTGGAAGCTGACTTCTGAAATTTAGTATAAAATAGGAGGTGTAGAAAATATAAAAAACAAAATTCAGTCTATATTTACATCATCTCATTTTTACTTTGTGTTCAGTTAGGATCTGTGTGAAGAATCCCCCCTCCATTCATTCGGTACTTTCCCTCCCTGCTACTTTATCCATTTATTTATAACTGTGACGAAGTGCCCTTCGCCACTTATGCCTGGAGAGGACTGCTTGCCCGCCTCTTGCCCTGTGACTATGGACCCTGGGAGATTTGGCCCGTTCAATTCAGTATGTTAGGAGTTATGTATTTTTGTATTCTTTTGTGTTTTACTGGGAACATGTGCTCAATGGAGTCTGCTTCTATCCCTGGATAATTGGATTACTTTCCCCATTGTCTCCAGGATAGAGGGCTCTGTAAAACCAGTTTGGGCCAGATAGCCATGCTGCCAGCCAGGCCCCAAAAGATACTATACTAACTTCTGAACCCCTGGTCTGATTCATGCCATTTTTTGATATGTTGTTTCCCTGAATGGATTGATTGTGAATATATAATTTTTATGTGAATGTGATGTATATTTTAGAAGTTATGAATATGCTGTAAAAACTGTATTTTTCCTGCCTGTGATAATTGCATCTTCTATTGTATAAGATAATTGAATCACAGGCAGAGGGGTGGATTTTGTGTGGGCTATAACCACTTTTATTGGCTAATGTAGATAACGTGTGTGTCCCTCCCCTGCATGGGAGCAGGGCATAAAAGAAACTGTAGCTTGAATACCTGTGGTTGTTACTTCCAGTAAAGTCTTGTTCCAGCATTAAGCTTTGGCTCATGTGTGGATTATTCGGTGATTCCAGGGATATTTCTACTTGTGGAATATTGGGTGACTTTCTTTTATGGAAGAAGGGAATGCTTGACGGTGATACCTTATACTACCGTCACAATCAGTATTATTTATGTTGTGACATTTAGTTAATATTTTGGTAAATTGTGCTATAGTGAAGGAGAATTATCAAGTATCGTCCTTTGAAAACAGACAGAAATATCTAAAATTGAGCAATTACCATGGAAACCTGTGTAATCAGCAGGTTCATTGCATTTACTCTTTCTCTACAATGTTACAGCACTGTATCTTATTTATGTATATCTGTTACATTGTATCTATAGTATTGATTGCATTGCAACATTACATTGAGCTGTGGACTGACTGAAAACCAATCACAGTTTATATAAATCTCTTTCCTATTACAGCATTGCAAATACTTAATTATGTTTTGTTCTTTTTTCCATATTTTTTAATTGTTGTGAATATTTTTTTGAACGTTATGTTATCCATTAGGTAGTAGTCTTTAATTTTACACACAAGGCATATTATTCAACAAATCATTATAGATTCTGTAAAATTAGAGCAGTTCTCCTGTGACTGTCTTGTGCTGTCTCCTGTGTCTCCTTTATTTTCTGTCTGTTCCGGCTTTTTTCTCAAACATCTCTGTGTATGCAACGGTTTTACCTCCGTGCTTTGAAACACTTTCCCTAACTTTATAAATGTACTTTATGCATTATCTTTCTTTAAATCACCTTACCTTTAAACATGTGCTGCTGTTACTCTGTCTGGTGTACGTTGGATATTAAGCTCTCTCACCTTTAAATATATTTACGGGCTGCAGAGCATTCACACTATCTTTCATATTATTAAACTGTTATCAACCACAATTCTGAGCTCCTACGTGTATTTTACTTTTATTCAATTTATTTTTTCATGAATATTTTTTTAATTTTAATATTCTCCATCTTTGGTCATGTTTTAATAGTTTGATAGTTGTATCTACTCACTAGAAAAGAAGAGGGATGGTAATCAGGTGGATATATAGCAGATTTATTAAACCTGGCCCCTTTGTGTTTTTTACTCTCTCCAGCTCCTTTGTGTGTTTCTCTTTTACCCCCGCCTGTCTATCTCCCCTACCCCCCTGTGTCTCTTTTTCCTCTTCTACTGCCCCTCTGTGTCTCTTTCACCCCCAGCCCCTTTGTATTTCTACCTCCAGGCCCTTCTGTGTGTCACTTTCATCCCCAGCCCCTCTGTGCATCTTTCTCACTCCTAGGCCCATCTGTGTGTCTTTCATCCCCCTCTTGACCCTCTGTGTCTTTTTCCCCCACACAGCCCCACTCTCCCCTCCATGTCCCTTAGTGCTCCTCTCCCCCCATGTCCATGTTTCTTGTAGCGTTGCCGAGTGGAGGGACCGCGGTACAAAAGCTTCAGTTTCCTGTACCCGGCCGGACTGACAGGAAGTGCTGTCTCAGTGGGCACTTCCTGTCAGTCAGGAAGGGTATAGGAAACAGATCCTCATGTACCGCATAAAACCACAGACAGAAATGGGATACGGTTGTACAGTCTATAGAGAGAACATATAAATTAAAAACACAATAGTGTAATACAGTAGATACAGTAAATTGTGCGCTTTAAATGGATGCACTCACAAGATGATGGAAATAGAAGAGCATTCACAAGGTGCCTCCCCAGATAGTATAGGGGGCTGGTGGTTCCCCTTATCGATGTAGAACAACCAATGGAACACGGGACTCCAGGTGAATAGTAGTAAAAAAAAAAAAAAATTATTTTCTTAAAAGGTGAAAAAACACCATAAGAATAGAGATTAAAAGTGCAGCAATAGGTCCAACGCGTTTCGTTCAAACAAGAACTTCATCAGGGACCGCACAATAAAAAAATCACAAGCAATATCACAGATTGTAAAATAACATATCCTACTTTCCCCTTAACAGAATCTCTATAAATAGGGCTAATCCCAATGTCCCATTGGTCCATGATGTAGGAGTGTCCAATAGCCAGCTCTTCGTTGGTCCAGGGGTGATATCCTCCAGCTGATGATATTTTTGGCATTTAGATGATTCACAATTAGGCGCGTTCA